ACAACTATTATTATAGTAGTGATAAAAATGTGTTATGCTAGAGTTTAAATGTGCCTGCATGCTTACTCAAGTCATTTTTGATGCATTTTATTTAAAAAAAATTAATGTTTCCATCTGGTAATCCCTATTAGCTACAGTTATCCAGATAAAATGGGTAAGTTCAACTGTAATGAGACAAGTGGAGGCTTTGCGGTTTGACATTTCCGTCGTCCTTGTGTCCTTTATCCACTCAGCACATGCGCTGGTGTGATGTGTTGTGTTTCTGTGTGAAGCCTTATCTTCTGTTGTACTATAATTTACTGTGGTTTGCATCAGCATCCTTGACTGTCTGATTGAAGCGGCTCTCAGTGAGGCTTCAATTACAGACGGGGGTCTCAGATTGAGCCACTAAGTGTGTCTTTGTGAGCGGTCCCTGCACATTAAATATACAGAGAGAGAGAGAAAAGAGTTGAAGTGTGGAGGACGGTATGGAGGACAGGTAGCAGCAACAGACAGAAAGAAGGGGAGGAAGAAAAGGGAAGCGGTGGGAGGTTGAAATGTTGGAAATGCAGTGCGGGCCAGGCAGAGGGGTAAATTAATGAAGAGTGGGATGATGCGAGAGAGAGAGGAGGATATAGAGAGAACAGAGAGAGAGGAGTGAATGATGGGGGAAGGGATGAAAGAGGGGTGACACACAAAGAGAAAAAGAGATGAGAGAGAGACAGAGAAGTGATGTCTGACACATGAAGGCATGCAGAATTCAAGGATAAAAAAGAAGAAAAAAAATCAGACAGCGAGAGCCAGAGAGAGTGATTTAATAGGTTGAGAAAGTAAAGGAAAAGGCTGGAGAGAGGAAGCTTTATCTAACACTAATGGAATCGGATGTATTTTTGTCTTTCTGTTCTCGCTGAATACACCCCAGTTAACGTGACAGTGTTTCCACATGTGCACAGCTGTGACTAACATACATGTCGGCTCTTCCTGTAGCTCAGACGAGCATGTGTCTAATGCGCATCAGACACCGACGACAACGTAAACACACAAAGATGTAGAAGTTTGCCATCTTGTCGGCGTGAAAGGCCGCGAGTAGTAGGAAGTAACGTTAATTAAACGAAACAAAACCAGATCAGATATGGATCTACATTATCATTCATGTGGGGTTGTGTTTTTGGCCACAGGGTGAGTCCCATATTCACTCATGGTCTCCACTCTCAGGCTTTTTAGCGACTAAATGGCTCCACCATGTTCACCAGACAGCTGCTAACTGTGTTTGGCTATTACATTTTGACTGATTTGATTTATTTTAATGTCAGGATGCTTGCTCCAGGATTCACCGCTGTTGTATTTTTGGGTGCACGTCCATATTTTTGCCACTTATGAAGTCATAGGTCTTCATAGGATCATCGGTATTTGTGCTGTATTTTCTTTATCCTAGATGTGTGGTTAACTTTCAGTGCTTAAATTTGACCTGATTTATACGATCTGGGTCTTGGGTCCACATTTTACTCCGTCAAATGTGTGAAATTATCTCTTTTGCTGAGCATTCGCACGTCATGGGCTCAGCACCTTTATTTTCATCTTCCCAAACTGTTTTGCAGGAGGCTTGTACACAAGGCTGTGATTTTACATTTTAATTCTATAAATCTTTTCACCGGAAACACTTTCTGCTCATGCTTGAAAAGTGCTATAAAAATGAAAATATTCGTCAAATTGTGGGCTCTAAAATCAACCAATGAGCTTAAAGACTAAAACTCAAGCGAACGGAGAGAAACTGCAGAGCTGCTGATAAACATCAGTGGCTTCTTCACTGTGCTTCTCACATTTAATTCACTGTTATCACAACAGTGATAACAGCAGCTTGAAGGAATTCAAGTTAATCTTGATTTTTATTTTCAGTTAATCATGAGTTTGGATTAATACAGCAGAAAGAATCAACCAGGACAGAGAAGGCTCACAATAGGGACAACGTTTTTTTTTTTTAGGTTTGACATTCGGAAACAACACTTTTGAATATGATATATGTTTTTTGGCCACTGATATCGTCCCTCGCTGTAACACTAGTATGTACGATACATGTGATTCTGCTTGGATAACAGCATGTCAGTGCTTTGATTTAGCGCCCTGATGCTAAAAGGTGAAGTCAAAGAGTCAAGTGGACGAGGTCGTGGTGAAGATGCTGAGCTGGCCGCCGCTCTTGTACCCCTCCATGAGTTATGCCCTCTCTAATGGAGGATGAGGGGTAATTGGGTCATTTCATCACAGCTCAGTGAGTGGAGGGAACCTCATCAGCACCAGGGTATGCACAAGATGTCCACACTTTGACATTTAGGAGAGGAAGGAGAGCACAAAGTACACAGGTTTTCGTAGTCGTCCACCAGCAACAATAGACTTGTTGGCAAAGCAAGATACCGTGTTGAATTGTTGTTTTTTTTTTTCACCCTGAGAAAGCCGTCTGCACGCAACAGCTCTGTGCAAGTGGAAGACAGCGTAACTGGAGTGAAATAGATTTATTTAAGAACAGGATGTCTGAACGCCTACAGCGCATCCCTCTGCCGCTCGCAACAGACTTCCACCACATCTGTTACGGCAGCACACACACACATACACGCAGCGTGGAGGCTGGACTGACGTGTTACCAACCCGCTATTGTAAAGGCCATAGTTTCTATTCCTGGATGAGTTGGTTTCACTGGAATGAATGAATGACCTTCACGCTGAAATAGAATGACAATTATCTCCTGTGCTTGTGGATCATACACAAGCCTGTGTGACCTGAATACACACCGAGCTGCTTTCACCTGTCAGGTCTTTCCAGATCACATCTCACTTCTTCTCAACATCTGTCCTCCCTTGTTCTTTCTTTCTCTTCTTCTTCTTCGTCGTCTTATTTTCGTCCCCTCCCACAGCCGGGTTCTCCATCCGTCTTGTCCCCCTGCTCTCTTGTTGCCATGGCAATGGATGACAAAGATGAGATAGGGGGTCTGAGGGGAAGAACAGTCTATATGCTCTGTATTCTCATCGTGTGGTTTTTCGTCATGTTGCATCACAAGCAGCCTGTTAATGCTAAAAATGGAAAGACCTCGCAATGCTGGGGTCTGCTTTTTTTATCTGGTGTGAACACATTGGCATCCTCGTTAATCTGAACAAGATGCTGTTATTATCCTGTGCAGGCATCATTAGCAGCTTGACAACTGAAACTCAAGTATTATACCTTTTTTGTCTTTGTTGTTTGCCTGGAGCACACAACACCACATTAGCATAAGACGTAATGTAATGCAGTTTATCCTAATGCACTCGATTTAAGCTTGTCAGGGAAAAATTCACTTAAAAAAACACTTCAGTGCTGTTAAAGGAATAGTTTTAGAAAATGCATTTATTTGCTTTTTGTTGAGTGATAAAAAGAAATTAAATAAACTCTAAAATCATTTTTGAATATTTGATTATATCTTAGTTGTTTAAAGGGAGCAAGACTGTCACATCTAAACCTCACCAAATAAGAAATTATCTCTCATGTGTTTAAACCATACAAATAAGCCAGCGCATTTCAACTTGATGGCTAAATGAACCCCAGGCAGCAATGACAGTGATATAAGAAAATTAATAACAGGCATAAAATGACAAACTATTAACCAACAACCACTTAATGTGTACCCTGTAATTCTCTGTCCACTTCTATTTTCTTTGGTGATTTTTCTAAATAATTTCTACCATATCTTAGTCCTCTGAACCCTTTCGGCAATTTCTGGATGTTTTTTTTTCACCTTTTACATTTTTACTCACTGAAGGCTCATTTTTCACTGCAATATAAAGTCCTGCACCTCGATGGAAACAACTCCACCATGGCTAGAAATAAAGAGAACTCAAAGTCTTCTGTACACTATGATAAAATTGCAATGCCATAAATGATCCAAAAAAAAATTAAAAATTGAAGTAAAATTTTTTGATTATTCATTTTACCAAAATGCAAAAGCCTGGAATTAACGTGTACAACATTTTTCTGAACACCTGCAGTTAACAGTGCTAAAAAAAAAAAACAATAAAACAACTGACTATAAATACTATTGATATCTCACTACTTACTTTATAAATTCGTTTCCATTTGTGTCTTCTATTTGCTCCATGGAAACACAGCCTACAGTTCAGCTTAGTTAAGCCAAAAATGTCCCAGAATTTTTGTCATGTGAACGTTGGTCTCAGCTGAGTCAGTAATGACTTCACTGTTATATCGAGGATCACAGACTTTTTGGTTTTTACAAAATCTGGTTAGAGCAGATAATGAATTTTTGGCAAATTTGTTAGTGAGATATGTAGAATAAAGTGATTTTGATGAAATATTAATGAAACAGTCCCACATGATTGGGTTCTTGCTGTGGTCAGCGGTATCATTTTGGCAATGCCTGTTTGGGGTTCAGAGAGTTAATGCAGCTAATTTGTCTAAACCATACAAGATTAAAGACAAGTGTAGAAATGTCCAAAATATATCCCAGTGCTAAGCTAAGAAAGCTCTCGCTAACTTTATCCTAATATTTAAGGGACATACATGGCCGAGGCCTCCACCTAGTCATGTAACTCTCAGTAAAAAGCAGATCAATATTTTTCTTGTTCCTTTTAGCAAGTGACAGAGCAAATCTTAGTCTGGTTTTATTTTCTAAAAAAAAAAAAGAAAATCTAAATAACCACTACTGAATCTTAAACACAAACGGCAAAAACTTAAGACTACCACACACACCGAGACAGAAATCATCTGTTGGAAGTTGTTAAACTGCAATTCGTCGTCTCTCGCCAACCTGCTTCTGTGGTTTTGCAACTGGTCTGAAATAGATGCCAAAACAAGTGTTGCACATCTGGAGTGCATACTTTGTGTTCAATCGCTGCCAGATCTAAGTGGCAGTTTCTCTCTATAGAAGTGGGAATAGCTGCGGTAGGCAGAGACAAACGTTGGTCCACAGTATAAGCAAATGGCAGCATTTCATTCCAACGTACAGTCACTCATGGAGTTCTGTATGTCTTGCCGTGTTCCAGGTGTTGTACCTGCAGCAGGCCGAGGTCACCAGAGAGCGAGTGTACGCTATGCACCAGTCCAGCATCGACGGGGTGGAGGACATGTCAGCGCTGGCCGAGCTGCACGAGGCCGCCATCATGCACAACCTGTACCAGCGCTACCAGAAGGATAACATCTACGTAAGTGCATCCAGACGGCCATATGTGTCTGTGTGCTTCTAAGCATGTGATTGAGTGGGTGTGCATGTGTGTGGCCATTATGTGTGTACATTTTGTTTACGTCTTGAGGCGCTCCCCCTCTCCTTTTCCTGTAATCTTTTCATGAGGCTTTTAGAGGGGAAGCATAAATCATATTATCAGACCTCCCCCACTGTGAGTGGAAGAGGTGGAGAAAGAGCAAGAGAGTCTGATAAAGTAAAAACTTGGCATGGTAAGGTCAGGAATTTAGGATATTATAAAGAGAAACCCCAAAATTCTCCCATAGAACAAGCATGGAGACAGTGGGGGAGAAAAACTCCTGAATCCGATTCAGGGATGGCGGCCATCTGCCTTGGAGAGCAGAAAGAGAATAAACGAGCACTGGGTAACATCAAACAGTAATATGAGCAAGTTGTTGAGGTTGGTAACTGCAGGTAGGATACATGCAGCTCTGGAGCCACACAGGGAGCACAAAAAGCAAAAGCACAAACTATGGGAGATAGAAGACACAAAGTTAATGACTTGTAACCGTAGCATGAGAATACACAGAGAGTGAAAGAGAGCAAAGTAGGAAAGAGATGCTCATTGCATCATGGGAAGTCTTCAGCGATATAGGCTCACATAGCTCCATCATTCTCCACGGCAGAGTGGTCTGGCTGCACCTCGAATATTTTTCTGCAATAAGGAGAAAAAACCCTCCCTCCCCTTTAAACCAATCACAGTCGTCTGAGGTGGTGCTGAGCCATGGATGCAGCACTGGTGTCCCCTCAAAATGGTAATAGAGAAATTGTTTTGGTTTGCATGCAGTGAGGTGAGCTCTGGCAGATACACTGAAAATACTTGATTCTTATCAAGTGAAATTTTTGCTAGTCTCACTAGTTTCCCAACAAAATTGAATCTACTATGTTTTTTAAAATGATTATTCTTACTGTAAGCTTATTTGTTTTAGTTTAACAATGTCAATCAATTTTGGGCAGCTTGGTGGTGCACTGTTGGGTTGGCTCGAATCTGATGTGGAGTTTGCATGTCCTCCCTGAGCCTGAGTGGGTTTCCTTTCTCTGGCTTTACTGTCATGCATGTCCAGTGATTCTAAACTGGCCGTAGACGTGAGAATGACCAAGCATGGTGATCTTTTCGTGCGATAAACTGATGACCTGTCCAGGGTGTAAACTGTCTCCAGCCCAACCAGATAGGCTCCAACCCCCCCATGACCCTCTGGTTTCACCTCATCAGCAGGATTTAATCTCTTTCTGTCTTTTTTCTCTATGAAAAGATTTCACTGGCTTTGTTTAAGCCGCTGATGTTGAAGGCCTTTAACTGTACAGACTCTACATTGCCGCTGACTCTTCGCCACAGCGTGTAGATGATCGAAGCAAGCAGTCATTACATTAATCAAACATTTGAATAGCTTTATGGAGTCAGTTTTGTTTTTGCAACATGGACAAGAAATGAATGACTGACGACTAAAAATACATTCAAGATTATTTGCATGGCACAATGCACAGACAGTAAATCTAACAGTCTTTCTCAGATCCTGTAAGTGACTCATTATCACAAGAGAGGTGAATTGCTGTAGTTATGTGTTGCTGTGAATGTGTGTAATGAATGACTACATTAACTGATGAAAAACTCCAGCATCCACTAATGACATGAATCTCTGTCTGCAGTTTTAAAACTAGCGCTGGGATCAATTAATTTATTACCATCAAGGCCCAAAACTAGCACATTTTGATCACTTTGATGGTGAATTAACAGTCAGACATGTGGAAAAGCCTGGAAAGATTACTAGACAATAGACCAATAATAGCCTCCTGGGGTGTGACCTAATCTAGATGATGAAATATTGTCCATACACGGATTTCCCTTAAGCTGATCATAAGAATTTCCCATGTGTGGGTCAGTTTTCTGTGTTACTGTGTGTTTTTGCGAGCATATGTGTCCTTCAGCGCAGTTTTATGAGCGTAGTGCACAAAATGCACAGACGAGGTAATATGACACGATGGAGCTGCTGCTGACCTGAAGGTTTGCTTCAGTTGAAGAAGGATAGAAAGCAAGGTGACTTTATAGCACCAATGGTTCAAAATGGAAATCTGGCCTCCATCATCTCAATGATCTGACTTCAGGATTTCAGTAAAAATCTGGTGTCTCATCATTCTTAATATCATATTTTCATCCTGCTATTCCTGCTTATCCTTAAATCCAGATTAACATTAACACAAAGCGCCTTTAAAATTTAGTACGTGTCTCCTGTAAATATTCTGAATGCATGTTTTCTGTATACAAGTCAATATGTTTATGTGTGTACGGTGGGAGGGTTTGTTAACATTTATTTAATCATGGAAAAAAACAACTGCAAAAGATAAGGAAAGAGTCTAAATACTCTGAGACTGAACCTGAAGTGTCACTTCTTTGCTATTTTCAGACCAACATCGGCAGCATCCTGGCAGCTGTCAACCCGTACAAGCAGATCTCTGGTATGTACGACCCAGAGAGGGTGGACTTGTACTCTAAGCACCATCTGGGTGAACTCCCTCCGCACATCTTCGCTGTGGCCAACGAATGCTACCGCTGCATCTGGAAACGCCACGACAGCCAGTGTGTTCTCATCAGGTGAGTTTCAACCATGGGGGATGTTTTCACGATTCACTATATTAATTCATATCATTTGCTTGTTGATCCATCCAGGGGATCCTTTATCCATTTATCAGTCTCCATACTAAGCCATCAATCCTGCTTTTCAATCATGGGATAGAACCTTGGCCTATCCCAGCGCGCCCTGGATGAGAGGGAATTTCCATTTCTGGAAAATCCTGCTATTCTTATCGTCCTACTTACCCAGAGTTACACATGCATGTTTTATGCCTCTGCGTGCAGACTGAATGTACAGTCAAAGGACTAGTTTAATATTTGGAGAACTATCCTCATTCACTTCCTTGTCAAAGGTTAGATGATAACACCAACAGGATTGGAAAAAAAATAAAAATCAGGGGACCTGTTACCAACACCTAATTAAATACATGGTTGCAAGATTTAAAAAAAATAAAATAAAATAAAAATTTAAAAAAAGTTCATTTGGAAAAAGATTTTAAATTTCAAACATTGTTTTGATGACTTGTGTTGACATAATAATGTTGTTAATTAGAAAAAGTTATTAATGGGTGTAATTTAAACTGAGATTTTTGGACTTGTTGATTTAAAACTAAATTTAAGCTGTAGTACATTCATTATTTTTTGGCTTTATAATTTAATTTCTCTTTGTCTTTACCTTGAGTTTAGGATTTCAAGTCCTTAAAAAAATAATAAAAAAACGCATTTAAATTAAGTAGTTGCACATTTTAAATTCCTTTGATTGTAGAAGAATGACTAATTCCCCTCACTGCATGTAGTTTGTAGGTTGAACCTAACTTCCCTAAAAGTTGTCTTCACTCAAAAACACTCATGCAAACTGTTGTGTTCATTTCTTTTTGTTTCACCCAAACATTTGTTTTTAGACTGTCTCACTCTTACTATGTAAATGTAGAACTCCAGCCAGGGGACAGCTAGCTTAGCTTAGCTTAACATAAAGACAGAAAATGGGGAAAAAGTTAGGCCTTCTCGGCCAGAAACAGTGATTTATTGGATTCAGGCAACCAGCAGAGACTCCAAGTGTTATTGATCTCAGCTAACAAATAATTGAACATGTTAGCCAGTAAAACCCCAATGCATATTTCTATACCTAGAGTACGTAGTATGATATAATGTGTTGTCTATTGAGGTTTAGAGATGCTAGTAGATGGATTTTTGTTCATTCTTTTAACAGAACCATGGTACATATTTCTGTCTTATTCCAGTCTTTTAATTTAGTTACGAATGTGATCAATAAATATGGTTTTCATAATGTTGAAGTATTAATTTAAGAGTCAGTTTAACATATAGGTTCACTCAGATGTTGTTTAAAAGTTGCTGTCTCACTTAAAGATAAGCAAATAAAAATGACACATTGGATTGACTGTTGATCTAATTGTGTTGTGATCTGAGCAAAGAGACTTTTTGTGTAACAAATACTTTGGCATAGGCCTTAGACAAGAGGAAACATCGTAATATACTGATGATAATATCAGATGAAACCTCAAAAATGAATACAAGAAATATTTCTGGCGTCTTTCACATCATGTGTATCAGAGCTGGTATCAGATGGACATCAGAACATATTTTAATGTTCTGTCATTTTTCCCTTGTTTTTAACTGGAGCCCATGCAGAGACATGCAGTCAATGACAGCTATGAGAAAGAATGAGAAACCAAGAATAAGGCTGAAGGATGACGAATAGAGCGGCTTCATTTCTGATATATTGATTTCAGTAGTTGATTGTGGAGAAGAAGTGTTAAAAAGAAGCTAAAGAAGTGTTAAAAGATGAAATTATGATTGTGTCTCTCCTTGTAGTGAGTCTTAATAGATGCCATTCCTTTTTCTTGATAAAAAAATAAAAAAGAAACTCCAAAAACCCCTGCATGTAGTCAATTAACCGCTAACTGGTTTGTTCTGGTTGTAGTCTCTGACGTTTACTTTCAATTACACTCAGTCTGTCTCTCACCTCCTGATTGAGGCAGACTGGGAGCTAATGCAACTATCAATTAGACAACCAGACCAGTTGGAGATATGGGAATGTCAGAGAAGGTCACCGTGCACAGTAATTAAATTGTGTTGTGTTTGTGTGTGTCTGCTGCAGCGGTGAATCGGGGGCGGGGAAGACGGAGAGCACCAAACTGTTGTTGCAGTTTCTGTCGGTGATGAGCCAGAAGTCGGCCGGGACTCCACCGTCTGAGAAAACCACCCGAGTGGAGCAGGCCATCGTACAGAGCAGGTACGCGGCAGCACATGCTGACATCTCTACCTGTTTGTGGCGATTGTGTGTTTGTCACGGCACAAGTTCACATTTTTTTGTGTCACACTCACATGTTCATGTGTGAACTCTTTTGTCCTATTGTCCAAACTGGCTGTGAATCAACTCCTGTAGCATCAATGTTATTAAAAATGCTTTAGTTGTAAGTTTAAGTAAACTTACGTAGCCAACTCAGGTAAGTATCTTCAAAAGTTTAGTGGAAAAACTTCCCTTTGTGTTTTCCCAGAACATCTTTCCTTGCTTAGCAGTGGTGGAGGAGTAGAAAGAAACAACGGGAATCTAAAATAAAACAGAAATCCTCATATTAGATTAAACTGGAGTTCATTTTCATACAAAAGAGGAACTTGTAGATTAATAGTGTGCAGTTTACACATTAAATTATTTTCTTAAATGTTCCAGGTTTGCAGCTGCCTTTTACTAGATCAAAACTTGGGACTTAATTATTGTTTTTTTTGCATATCTAACATGAGGTCAAATCATTTGGGAGTCATATTTTAGTATTAAAATCCAAGTCTCAAGTCTCCAACTCTGATTATTACTGAGCTCAGATACTGTGGAGGAGCAAAGTAAGTAAGCAGTGTTTGGATGTTAGTGAACATAAAGCAGAGCACTCCTGAAGAATTTTATTTCAGTTTTTCTTGGCTAAGGTTAGAAGCATGCTTGTTGGTCATGCATAGATACATGCAAACTCAACAAAATCCTTAAAACTAAGGTGCTTTGTTTCCCTTGCAGTCCGATCATGGAAGCGTTCGGTAATGCCAAAACCGTTTACAACAACAACTCCAGTCGTTTTGGGAAGTTCATCCAGCTTCACTTCTCTGAGGGCGGCAACATCCAAGGAGGCTGCGTCATCGACTGTATCCTTGTTTTTACACTGAGCAGATGTGTTTGCATCAGATGTCTACATATGTTGTTATTAGTAGGCAGTGAAAGCTGTGTTAAATGAGTCTTTTTGTGTTGATCTGTAAAAAGTGGTTTCCTTGACTCTTCCTTGCAGATTTATTGGAAAAGGTGAGCATGCCTGCAGCTTCTCCTCTCAGGTTTATGCTTATCAGGAGTGATTTGTCAGCTTTTTTTGTCATTAATAATGAATTGCTGCATATACTCTTCCATAGAACCGCGTAGTACGACAAAACCCCGGAGAGAGAAACTACCACATCTTCTATGCTCTGCTGGCAGGAGCGAGTAAAGAGCATAAAAGTGAGAAAATCTATGTGAACATCTACTGTTTTGTTTCTGCTCTTTATTAACAGACACTTAATATAAGAAATGATTAGAACTATAGCTTGGTATGCCTTGCCTAGCATTATTCGGATGAGCATTTACATTACAATTGCAGAAGAAGTACAACTGGAGATGCAAAAATATGTAGAAAATTATTCAGCAGATCATGTTGTAATGAACTAAAATCAGTCATTATAGGTTGCAGCTACATGGTACATATTCTAGCACATTGATAGCTTGTATTTCTTCTGTTAGGCCAATACTTCCTGGAGGACCCTCCTGAATCTTTCCACTACCTCAGCCAATCAGGATGTCTGAAGGACAAGAGCCTGAATGACAAAGAACTGTTCAACAGTGTCATGGTCAGTGGGATGTTTTTTCCTTTTTGTGTTCAGTAAATTGCCACCTAGAAGTACAAAGGACATTTTGAACTTAATCTGGGATATCAGATAACTCGACTCCACAGGGAATGAAATTAAATTTAACTGACTGGACTGATGTTCTTGAATTCATACCACCGGTTTTTGGAGTAAAACTGAAATCCTCCAAGATGCTTTAAGAGCAGAAATGTTCCACTTAGAAGAAATATTGTTTCTTTGATCATTTATCATACTTCTGCACTCTAAGAAATATCTTTGTTTTAACTTTGCGAGACTGTATATTTTACCTGGAATTGTCTATAGCAGGGGTGTCAAACTCTTTTGGCCCGCTTTGCAATTATATTTGGCCCGCGAGACAATACCAAATGACTACTAGAGTATTATACTGTACAGCGCATTCACCGCTAATACTACAAATCCCATAATGCCCTGTTGTTGTTTTGGCACATCAATCAGGACAGGACCCAGAAACTCCCTCTCCTCTGTGACAGTAGGCATAGCGACTTCACACCACAACTGTCACTGTGCCATTGATGTGTTGTTTTATTTATAATTTGATTTTGCATGTCTCCACTATTAAGTTATATATAGTGTTTGGTAATAAGCGTTGCTTGTTCCATATTCAATGTTAAAGCAAAATTTGTTTCAGTCCATATTAAAAGGTTCATTTGTTCAATGCTGGCCCGTGACGTTGTTCAGGTTTTAAATTTTGGCCCACTGTGTTTTTGAGATTGACACCCCTGGTCTATAGTATGTGATAGCAGGTTCTTCAGGTCATTTACATGTTTCAGTTATGATTTAGGATTAATTTACGTTTGTTTGTAATATTACGAGAGAATGTAGTGATTAGCAAACTTGGAGCAATTTAGAGGAACAATTTTATTTTTTAGTACTTTTGTACGGAAATGTCAGATGTATAAGTAAAGTTAAAAAAACCCATTAAAAAACAACTCCAGGTATCACAGAAGATTTGTTGCAATTTCGATGATTAATGTCACCGTAGGTGCCTCACCAACCGAAAATTTTGACAGCATTTTGATTGCTGTAGATGTAGTATTAACAAAAAAAAAGACGTTTATGGTAAATGACTTATAAATTGTTTTTTTAGGACAAAGTTTGTGTCCTGAGCTGCTGTTATTATTTATTTAATATTTGTAGTTTTTATACAGTAAATATACCATTAAATGGTACAGAAAGTGTAATTTAGTTGTATATCTTTTTTACTATAGGTACACCAGTGAATAAAAGCAAATGTCAGTTTTTATTATTACAGATTTGACTTTAAATAATAAGAAAATATCTGTTTCCCCAGTAAATAACCATTAAAAAATATTCTTTTATCACTGTACAGTCAACATTAAAATACATAAAAAAGACCTGGTGTTTATACTGTGGACACTCTGAATTAACAGATAATTCTATTTAAAATTGTGACTCAACTTCTATGTAATGAGTTGCGAGTACATGTACACATTTATTTCCATATTTTAAAGTGTTGGACCATATTGCTTCTGTCCTTTCATTTTTACTAGGATGAATTAATCTTTGACTGCACCATCCTTAGAAAATGTGTCCATAAATAAAGGACCTGAGCTCTTTTCCCGTGCTTGTCTTTGTGCAGGAGGCGCTGAAGGTTTTAGAGTTTACAGAGGAGGAGATCAGAGACATGTTTAAGCTGCTCTCAGGAGTCTTACAGCTCGGCAACATCGAGTTCATGACTGCAGGAGGAGCCCAGATCACCACCAAGCAAGGTCAGGCTGCTGCCCGTGTGTATAAAAGGAGTCTGAAAATCTAAAAGTGAGATAGATGCATTGCAGAAGTCTGACACATCTTGGTGCATGTTTCCAGTGGTCACTAATGCTAGTGAGCTGTTGGGTCTGGACGCCTTCCAGCTGTCTGAAGTCCTGACTCAGCGCTCCATAATCCTCAGAGGAGAGGAAATCTGCTCCCCGCTCACTATAGAGGGGGTCAGCAAACACACACAACACACACACAGCACACACATATACATGTAGTTATATATATATACATCACATTCACACTGCCGTCCTGACCCTCCCTCGGGTTTCCTTCTCATCACTGCAGGCTGTAGATTCCCGAGACTCTGTTACCATGGCGTTATACTCCCAGTGTTTCTCCTGGATCATCCTCAAGATTAACCAGAAAATCAAAGGGAAGGAAAACTTCAAATCCATCGGCATCCTTGATATCTTCGGTTTTGAGAACTTTGAGGTCAGAGCTCTGACCTTTCCTATGTTTCCTTGTGTTTACCATTTGTATGTATTCTCTTGTCAGCTCCATAAATGTGTGGCTTCAACTAATCCTGCATTACCAAGTAATATTAGTGAGTTTCTGAGCCAGCTATTATCAGAGTCAAGTCAGATTTTGCAGTATCTCAAGGCTGGCTTATTTTTATCTGTAGTCGATCATTGCAGTGAACTATCCTCCATTGTCGGGACAAAAACTGCGAACAGCCTTCCTACTGACCAATCACTGAAGAAACAGGGCAACGGGGACAAATTACAGAGCAGACTGCAATATGACGTGATCAAGCACCATTGAGGCATTTTCTATCCCAACAGAACATTCTGCTCATCAAAAAA